GACTTGCAGAAGGAAACAAACTTCTTGCCCCTGTTGCACTTGCGGTGGGAATTGATGGAAGCCTGTTCGTTGGGGATTTCAACTACATTCGACGCATCTTTCCCTCAAGGAATGTCACCAGCATTTTGGAATTAAGGTAATGCCACTGCTAAAAGCACCACTATAAAAGCTTTCCTAAGTGATTTTCTTTATAACTTTCTAGATTGTTGTTGCTTGTAGCCCTCAGCACTATCTGCTGTTCACAACTGATAGGTGAAAATGACTGATGGATCAAAACTGGCATAAAGTTGGTTTTCCCCCTTTTCCTTTGAAGACTATAATGGGAATTCAAGCAGTCCATGAATTGTGCAATTCACCATTAAAAAATCAGAATGGGCAGTGACGGTTAAGCATTATCATAAAGCAATCTTCCTCATCTTTGGAAAGCTGAGAATATAAGTGGAAGTTAACTTTATGTTTTGTTTTTAAAAAGGGACTGAAGAAGAGAAATTGGGCATAACAGCAATAGGAGGGAGGACTTAAATTAGGACAGAAGAAAAATAAATTAGGAAGCAAAAGACTGTTAAATCAGTTAACATGGTCAAGAAAGAGAAAAGAAAAAAGAAAAAAACTAGCTCAGAATTGGGAAGCAGGAAATTGGAAGTGGGAATGGTAAAGTAAGAAAAGGAATACAAAGGAATGTTGCAGGAGGAAAAAGAAGGGAAAGGACAAAGGAGAAGGGTGGATGAAAGTACGTATGAATTTGAATGATAATAAAACGAACAAAGAGAATAAAAAATAACAAATGCTAAAATAGCCAACGTATTTAATCCAGCATTGCTTATGCACATTGGCCAATCAAATGGCTTTGGAAATCAATAAGTAGAATATGAAGATTGTGGTTCATTCTTTTTTCTATTCCCAAATACCTCTCAACATTCATCTTAAATGGTTAATCCTGGGTTGTAGCATAAGAATGGGGAAAAAAACAATGCTCACATATTCTATGTATAATTTCATATACCTTTACAATCTTTTTTAAGTTAAAAAGTTAATTTTTTTCCTTAAAGTGGAGTTCTTCTAACCTTGATACATTTAGATTTCTCTTGTCTCTTTTTGATTCAACATTATGGATTTTGAGATGCAATGAACAGAATTATGCACAGTAGTGCAAGTGTTATAAACTGCATATTTGCATTTATTTTTATGGCATGGTTGGGCAATTCATAGTTCTCCTATACCCCTTTTCCAAGCCCCTAGAATGGGCAGGGCTAAAATTTTTGAATTCATTTTTTTCCTTTTTATATTTTAAAACAGAGATTTAAAGAGCAAATTGGATATCTTAAACATTTCTTAAAATGATCCATCCCTCCTAAAGAAAAGAGGATCTGAAAATTTCAGTTTTCCAAATTCTCAGTCTCGTACTTTTACAGCCGTCATTTTCAAAGCAGTTTCACATTGGGGTGACCCTTTTATTAAGCTGTCCAACATCAATTTAAATCTTCTGATTATAGCAATAGCACTTAGACTTATATACCGCTTTACAGTGCTGTCTAGCCCTCTCTAAGCAGTTTACAGAGTCAGCATATTATCCCCAACAATCTGGGTCCTCATTTTACCCATTTCAGAAGGGGAAGGATGGAAGGCAGAATCAACCTTGAGTAGGTGAGACTTGATCTGCCAAACTTCAGGCAACCAGCAGTCAATAGAAATAGCCTGCAGTACTGCATTCTAACCACTGTGTCACCTATTATCCCATTATTGGGATATTTCTACTTCAATGACGTATTATGATTGATTTTGTTGAACCATATTTACCTTTTTTTAGTGAAAGCTGAAATCTCTCTCCTGATTTCAAGATAATTTATGAATATGGGATAGAACACAATGTTTATTTCATTGTTGTTAATTCTTATATGCTGCTTTACAATTTCTACTTGCAACTTCAGAACTGGAGTCCTAGACTCCATGTAGATAAAGGTTAAAATGGCTCACACTACACACATTATAGACTCCATTGTCCTAAAACATACAAACTGCCAAAAATCAGAGCTATGTGTAATATTAATCATGTTTATAATTCTAATAGATTAATAATTGTTTACTTAAAGGCAGAAATCTTTTCCTTGATTATACAAACAAGAGGCGAACTTTTGTCCATTGGTTTCCTCAATATTTTTTTAAAGTGAATCCATTAGAATATTTTTTACATTTAATCTAGCATTGATTAGGTCCATGGCAAATGGACACTGATCAGTGGAATTCTGATTGAATTTGGTATAATGTAGTGTCAGGTGTTTGGTGTCTTCTCAAAAGTCCTATGAGTCATATTTTTGCAATTAATGGAAATGAAACAAAGAATGGATACCATATAAACAAATATAGACTAGAGGTGTTTAGAAGCATGACATGGGTTAGAATAATTCAGAGTTGGTTGCATTTTAACAAAGATGAAACTGTTAGAGTTAAGCCTGCTTTAGAATTCTTAGTGTTCTCTGAACTTTCAGACATTTCATTACCCAGCAAGACAACATCATCAGTGCAAGTTACCTACCTGTTTATATGCAATAAGTTCCCCTGCCAAAGTAATTTCCTATTTAAACCCATTTTGTTTTGATTTTAGAGTTACACAAAGCATTTTTCTAATACTCAATCATACTGAAGAGTAGAGTACCAATTTTGCAGCTATGCCAAAAAAAGGAGGGGGGATTTGATAATATTTAATGGGTAGAGTAGAAGAAAGAAAACAGTAGTGGATTTAATAATAATCATATTGCAGCTGTAGATCATTTTTTCTCCTCTTGAGATACTACGTGACTAAATTCTCTGTAATATGTTACCTAACTGACTTGATGTAATGAATGATTTTTTTTATTGAAAATAATTACACAATTTTGTGGGCAAGTATGGCTATCATATGAAAAAATAGGTATCATTCATTTTAACCACCCTTTCTCTGTGCATAAAATTTCACATTCTTCCTAAACATTTATCACAGATGTTTTCTATGATAAGAACTAATATTACTGAAAATTTCTATACATTCTATATAAATACAAAAATAGTACACTTAAAATAAGATTAGACATAAAAAAAGTGTTCCAAATCCATGCAAAAATATAAATATAAAAATATAAGTTAAATTATAATTTAATCTATTTTCTCAGTAAACAAAAAGTATTCTTGTCGTGTGCATCATTTTCCCAAATTTTCATTTAGACCAAGCATTCAGAATGACATAATCTGAAACTCACTGGGGCACCCAATTGAATTACATTCTTGAATTGAATTATTTGTGCAAAATTAAGATGGAACTATTTCCTTTTAATTTTTCAGATATGACAGTTTTGAGGAAATAAAAGGATAAGAGAGAGATTTTAATATGTGACATTTACAGATGCAAAATATAATTATAGGAAAAATTAACAGATAATAGTCTTATAAATGGCTCTCAGTCCTATCAGTTAAATGGGACATCCATGTTCAGAAAGGAAGTCTTGCAAGTTGAATCTAAGTTTCTGGGAGAAGACTGGAGGAATTTGGTAGTTGAACATTGTGAGAAACTAGAGGTTAAATGAGAATTACCTTCAATTATGATCCAATAAATTATTCATTGAAATTATGTTCCAGTACAATAAAAAGGCATGACTTAGCCTCCAAAGTTTGTGAAATATCAGAGGAAAAATATCAGAGGAAAAAGCAGAGGATACCCAGTATACCTACACACCAGTGATAGGATTCAATTTTTTTTACTACCGGTTCTGTGGCCTTGGCTTGGTGGGCATGGCAGGGGAAGGATACTGTAAAATCTCCAGTCAGAGGTGGTATTTGCCGGTTCTCCAAACTATTCAAAATTTCCGCTACCGCTATTATTGTAGAATAATAAATTGATTTCTAGGAACCATTATAGCTTTTGTGGGATCTAGCAAACTTCCTATCAAGCTATCTTACTTAGGCACTAGATTAGGAAACATTATGGAAATAACATTCTTTGGTTTCAATGTAGCATTTAGGAGATTTCCCAGAATATTTTGGTTGGCAGAAGTGTAAAATGTGGGTCGAGTGCTTGTACTTTTACATGAATCAGCAGTTGATTAAGCAGCCATATTCAATGAATGTTCATTAAAATGTCTGTGTTAGCATGGATAGACACTTCCTTGCAAACCCCACCCCCCAGGAACTTGTAGTAGACCTTGTCCTGGATTAGGGCAACAAAATTGCAAACAATGTGAAGCTGGAAATTGTAGGCTGCAACACAGAAGGTAGAATGAAGATTTAAAAGGATCTCCAAACTATGCCAAAATTAGGTTAAATTCATTTGAGATAAATATAGTCAAGATGGGAGAGACAAGTTTGAGAACTATAGATATAAAAATCATGTGTATCTTAACATATCTCAAACTGAGATATAAAAAATGGCAGTCAGTGCAGTGTCAGTGTTTTGTAATAATTCTGTATTCAGTATTAGTCTAAATCACATTTAGAGTACTGCACCCTATCTCATCTACTGCATTGTAAATTAAGAAGAGTATGAAAAATTTGAAGAAGGGACAGAAGGGACTTTTGTATTCTTACAATAAAAATCTTAAGGGTTTGCCCCAGCAGATACAGGGACAGCAAAACTTGTTATATGGCTTCATGCCTGAATAAGCCAAGATTGTAGAATAAGACAATATGCAATGTTTGCTACATGGTCTCTTCTTCAGCTAACTGTTCTCTCTTTCTCCCCCCTTTCCCCTTGTTTCTTTTCTGTTTTCTGTAAAGAAATAAAGAATTTAAACATAGGTAAGCCAAGTTTGCAATCCTATTATCATTTGCTATAGCTTGCTTGCTCCATTTTGTTTGCTTTTTTGTGTTGTGCTTTTTTGTGTAACGTTCTGTTTTTAATATATCAGGTATAAAAATATTAATGTGCTAATTTTGTGTTAGAAATACAGTAAGCACCAGTAGTTATACAAATGCAGTAAAAAAGCAACCAAAGAATTATCTAATGGAATGAGAATATAATGAACTCCAAGTCAACTTCAATATGACCATTCTCTCTGTGTAGTGTCTAATTCGCTTAAATGGTTGAGAGAAACTCGAGCAGTGGCTCTTGTAAATGCTGAAAAGGATTTAGAAAATTACTAATGGAGTAGAAATGGGTCAAAAACTCATTTCCAATTCATTAAAGGATTTTTGTCCTCTAGATTTGTTCTCCCATTCCATCTCACCCTTTAACTCAACATTATTAGGGTACTTTGAACAGATTATATCCAATCACCAGCCTCATTAGTTATTTTGAAGTGAGTTTAAATTCTTTTGCAAAAGGTTTCAATCCTTTTGCTGTTTGCTTTTTGGATGCATGTTTTGCTCATTCACCTGCACCTTTGGACATTGTCCTAGAAGTACGTGAAAAACTATAAAAGACAATCAGGCATTTACTTGCTAGTATTTTTTGCAATTCCTAGAGCTGCCCATTCTCAAAAGGTACATTTTCGGAAAACATTTTAATATTTGAATAATTCAAGCATAACATAAAAACATCAAAATCTCATAGATCCAATCTGATACTGCAAATAAAGTTTCATTCTGGATATAAGTCTCTTGATGTAATTGCTAAACTTAAATGCATTGTCCTTACTCTAACAAAAATTAGCATTTGTGAAATTGAGCTGCTGAAATAAAAATGGAAGATTTTATGTTAAATGATGTTTGTGCTTGTATACAAGGCAGTTGATAATTCACCTGTGTTACTAATAAACTCATTTAATGAGTTTAAATCAACCATTTAAGGGAATACTAGAAATCTTACATTATCATAGTCAATGATACTCACATTATTTAAAAAGTACTCACATTATTTAAAAAGTCAAGGCAATGTAATTAAAGATTTACCTGTTTTTATGTGTATCACATTGCAAACAATGCAGAATGCACATTGAAAATGGACAGAGCTTTGATTGCATTATTGTGTGCATCATCTTGATTTATTTTGTCATACCCCAGGACCTCTCTTTAAATCAGCAAAAGATGTTATTTTTTGCATTTTTACAACTTCATTCACAAGGGTATCATCAAATCCCAGTTTGCAACTATGCCTAATGTAATTGGCCAGAACATCTTTTATTATGGAGCTGGCTTTATTTATCTCTCTCTGCTCCCTCAATAAATCTACTTAACAAGAAATAACTTAATTTTCTGTCTTTGTTCTGCTGTCTTTTAAAAACTCTCTTGGCTTTTAAGAGTTTGCCCTGTGTCACCTAGGGCTGGCATCTGCAGAGATCTTATTTAAAATACTCATTCCATCTGCCTGTTAGCCCAGGGATGTTTGTGCAGGAGTATTTCCATTTAGTCCAGTTGTCTATTTGAATAGCTGAAGCTGACATTTCTAAATTTGCAGGTGCTTCACTTGCTCCACACCTTGAACACCTGTCAAAATAGATTTATTAGAAAAAGCCTCTAATATCTCAAGACATTCAATGACGCTATGAAATAAGGCTGAAAGATTTCAGAAAAACAATAGCTTAGCTTTGTGTCAGATCTGAGGGACTTGTTATTGCCATATAGAGAATTAACACTGCAGCCTTCCATAAATAGTATTTTAGGATTGATTTGTTATGAAGGCAAAAAAAGAAAAAAATTGCCACAAAACTAAAAACTATTGTATGCTTGGCAGAAATGTACGTGTTTACAGGATAGCTGTAGATTACAGAATGCTAATCCTACAAAAGAACAGGAATGAAGCAATCATGCTTTCTGGAAACCTTAGAGACTAATTAGTCCATACTGTACAATGCCTTCTGGAGGGTGAAAATATTATGAAAGCTTTCTCTGCGGTAATGCTGTGCCTATAAAGAAGAATATTTGTAGATCAGGGTTGAAATGAGGGGTCCTTGGTGCTCTCTAAGCTTGGTTGTTTTCTTGCAGTCAATTACCAAATTAGGTAACATCATCAGCTAGCACTGATGATGCTGCAAGAAAACAACCAAGCTCAGAAGCACCAAGGAGACCACAATGCTATACCTCCTTGAACCTTGGAGATGGTGGATGACAGCTAAAGCTTGATTGCAGTACCAGTGCTAAAATTGATTACAATATTATGAGACATAAGGAACACATGGGAAAAAACCCAAAGCATTTGATGCCAAATTGTCTATATTGTATAAGTTTTACTTGTGCTTTATAAACCATTGTAAGAGCACTATATCTTCCACTGAACATGATCCAAAAAAATAGCTAGGGCTGTTCTGTGCATTCCTTATTGAAGACAGAGGCATTCTTACTCTTTTAATGAGTCCCCTGCTCGTTACACAAATTGAATGACACTATGCCTGAGATAAAATTTAAATGAAGTTTCTCCAGATCATAACTTCAAATTACCTACCTTGAAATAATTATAAAGTGGAAAGTATTAATGAACATATATAAAGCTCATTTCTGTTGTGATGAAAAAACTACTTGTGATGCTGGACTAAAGTTTCTACCTTGAAGGCTGTAGGCAAGACCCACTCAATGAATTCACTGAAGAACAAGTAGGAATGTAAGCAGCATGCAACTGTCTGTGACAGTTACACATTTACCCACAGTCCTTACCTGCAATGCAGGCAATATTCAAAATCCATACAAGATAACGCATTGTCATGACAGAAATGAGCAGAGATTGTCCATGTGCTAACATACCTTCTCAAGTACAGGAAGTCCTCAACTTATAAGAACAATTGGAACTAGGATTTCCATTGCTAAGCAATGCGATCATAAGACATTAACCTCATCTCTTAACAAGGGCAATCTCTAGATTGCTGGGTGCCATTGTTAACTGAATCCCATAGTTGTTAGGTAAAGCAGCATCCTGCTGGTTTCCCACAACCAAAGTCCATGAGAAAGCCAGCAAGAACTTGCAAGTCTCTGGTGCTCAGGCAAGTCAATGGCTACTACTGAGAGAAGGCAAGGGAATACATAGTGATGCAGGAGACGGTCAGGGAGAGTGTAAGTGAGTGTAAAGGCGTGCACCAGAGACATGGTGAGGGTCAGTGAGGAGATGCAAGATGCAATGGAGTACATGAGAGGCATGACATGGGTTGAAAAAAGAGTACTAGGTAGTGTGGTACAGGTTGGTGTTGTGAGGAGATGTGCAAGAGGCATGGCACAGATCAGGAAGTGTGCAGAAGGGGTGCACGGGTGTGTGTGAGTGGTTGGCACAGCTTGAATACAAAGGGGCTAACGAATAGTATGCAGGTAGGAGAAATTTACCCCCAATGACTTGGTCTCTTCCCTGAAGGACAACAAAAGTTGCAAATGGTATCATGTGATCATTAGGCATTGCAACTGGTTGTAAGTGCAAACCAGCTGTCAAACACCCAAATTGTGATCACATGACTGGGGAGGAGTTGTCCTAGGATGGCCAGAACTCCAAGGAGCAATCATTTGTTCAATGTTACTGTAATTTTAAATGGTCATAGGTCAAGGACTACCTGTACTACATCTCTGGAGATATCAAAGTCTGCTTTGGCTCAACCACCACTTCATACTGTCAGCCAAATATGTGGCTGATTTTAGCCATTTTTCTAAGCCATAACTTCCAGTTGCCTTATTTAAAACAAGCAGTAACACAGCATAAATTATTTCACTATGCATTTTTATATTGTGAGAAAACTGTTTTCTGGGCAATCAGTAATAATAGAAAAGCCATTCTCACGTTCCTCAGTTCGACCACAGCAGCAAAGACAAAGGCAGTTTAGGAACTTATTTTTTTTTCCAAACTTTAATGCACATTACTCCTTTTCTCAAAGGGAAATGTGAAGCACTTCAAAGTCTTTAGTCTTTGAAGAGAAAACCTTCGAAGAGGAAACCTGTTTAGAACATCTTGATTTTAATAACAAAGACTGTTTTGCCCTATTTCAGCTTTAACCTTGAAAGTGACTAATCTTATGACATTCATTACTATTTTGGAATACTAAATGTAGGTCTTATACTTCTAATTATCCCAGCCTGCCCACCACACTATAAAAAATCTTTTTTTTAAAAAAAAGTCTTTTTATTAAGAGGGAAGGATGTGTGCAATTAAAAATTATGAGTCTACCTATTTTTTATAGAGCATTAGAGCAGGTTAGACTATTCTTTATTATTTGGCAATGTAGGAAGATGGGATAAAGATTTTACAAGCCAGCACAGATGCTATTAATTTTTTTTTAAAATAACTGCCTCCTGTCAAAAGCAATTCAAACTTTGGGTCTCATATATTTTTGCATTTGTGGTTACATTATTTCTCAAAGCATTGTTCCAAAACAAAACGTTTATGCTCTGTATAATAAATGGATTCTCATGGATGGAAAAAAGGAAATCCATAAATGGAAATTCATGAGAATCATATATATTTCCAATGCCCTTGTTACTGAGATGTAAATCAGACTATTCCAGTTTTGGAGATGTGAGGGAAGTAGAATGATGTAATGCTCAAAGAAAGATTGATTAAAAGCCAAGGTGGATTTGTCTTGTAATTGACAGGAACCTCTTAGTGAGCTAAGCTGTTAAGAACTGAATCTAACATTTACACTCCAAAATTACCTCAGAAGTAAATTTCACTGAGTTCATATTGCTCAGATATTGGTGTACTCAGTCTCATATTGCTGTAAACAGGACTACAGAAATAGTTTGAGATAAAACATGCCACCAATATTCACTTAAGTAAAATAAAGTTAGGGGCTTATGTAAAAGCCCCCACCAGCTTTATTTATTTGCCACTTTTCCATTTGCCCCTCATCCAAAGAATTCAAAGTGATAGGCAATGAATGGCATTATTGTCCCTCAGATTTGCACAATCACAGTTCTGCAATTGGAGAGGCTGTGAGTGAAGACATTTCTTCAGGCTGTCATGTCAATTTAGAGCAGAGGTTTCCTCACCCAAATCTAAACTCTATCCATTCTAGCCACACGGAAAGGAAGAGTAAATTGTGACTGCTAGACCTCATGTTATGCTATGAAACCAGTACAAGTACAGAGCTAGCAGATGCTTTAACACAGCGTGCCAAGCTCACTTAATTGGGTTACCTTTTGTAAGGCTTAACATGTTATGCGAAGTCAGTTAATTGGATTGGTATATTGTGTGAATGCAGAAATAGGAACTAGGTTAAACAAGTTATATGAGAGCAGATTTTGTGTGTATATTGGGTTGCTTTTAGACAGAAGGATGGCAAATTCTGAAACTGATTAATAGATGTCTGCTCAATGATCTCTCTGTATACCAGACCTTCTAAAGCTATCATTTTTTTCTCTCTCTCTCTTTCTCCTCAAGTAACAATCCTGCCCATAAGTACTACCTAGCCGTGGATCCTGTTTTAGGCTCTCTTTATGTTTCGGATACCAACAGTCGTCGTATTTACAAAATCAAAAGCCTTATTGGTGCAAAAGACCTGGCTGGTAATTCGGAAGTGGTTGCAGGGACAGGGGAGCAGTGCCTGCCTTTTGATGAGGCCAGATGCGGTGATGGAGGGAAAGCAGTAGATGCAACATTAATGAGCCCTCGAGGTAAGGGGCATCACAGGCAGCACCTGCTGTTGTGTAGCAAATGGCTGGTTTGGGTAGAATAACCCAGAAATAAAACATTTACCTGAGACATTGTTTATTGGCGCTAGGATTACAGTCCTTTGGAATTAATCAAAACACTAGAAGAACTGTAAAGAAACACTGAATAAAATAAATTACTACCTAATGGCCATATATAAAGTCTAGCTTCCAAATTGAATAATTAAATAATTCTGACTTATTATATTGAAAATGATGTTATGGTGAGCTTTCATTGATTGTTCAAACTAAATTTTGTTCCTACTTCCAAACACATCCTTGGATGTTGTAGACCAAGAATCTTTTTGGATCATTGAGTATATTGGTAATTTCAAAAACATATCTTGGATGTTCTCACAAAACAATCATTTACCAAACTTAGCAAAAGTTGCTTCTCATATTCTCTGTCATTTCCTATTTATCTTCCCCCAATCTCAGGCAGGTAAGCATATTTGCAAACAAAATGCTGAGCTGCGCACACCTACCATGTTTTTTTTTTTTTAAGAATACCCACAGGGCTTACACAGAGCCTAGGGGCATTCTTGGAAATAAAAGTAATGCTGGAAATGTTTGTTTTTCTTTGCAGTATCTAATCTTTCCATCTAATTATTTTTAATAAAGAAAAAAGAGATAAAAGCAATAGATAAAGTTGGGTGGCACAGGGAGCTTGGAGAACACCAAGGAAGATAAAAGTCTCAGATACTAGGCAACATTACTAAGTGTTTGCTTGGAATATCACTTTTTGTTGCAGAGTAGCAACAGTGTAGGACATCAGTAGTTGAAGCAGTTAAAAGATGTTAAAGCAGTTAAAAGGTGATATAACATAAAAAAAGGGATGAAAACACTTATTTGAACCTGAATGCCTGGACTCAATTAGTGATAAGTTTTAGAAGTTTGAAGATTTTTTTTTCTTCAAATGCATGTGTGTATGTAGTTCCTTAACATAATTTCCTTAACAATTTTCAAAATCATCCCTTTATAACATTTGTCAATACCTTCTGTGGAAAACTGATTATGCAAGCACACATTTCTGAGATAAAATCTGAAAAAATGCCTTTCGTACAGGGAACACTGGAAAGAAATCTGAAGAACTTTAGAGTAGCATGGTAACAAATGGCATAGGTAGTGAGATTTTCTGAACTTTTTACGAAAGGTTCATTCCTAGATTTCCAAATTATGTTTTATTTAAATGTAGTCTGTACTGTGAAAAAAAAAGAATGAAAAACCTTTTTTAAAATACAAGGAAAAAGAAAACAAGTCATATTGTATTAGGATTAGAATGGGAATGAATTTATAGAAATTAAAAATTAAAAAATTATAATGGACTTTAATGAGGAATACTCTTTTAATTTGAAAACTGAATTTGAAAGCACAAAACATCAAAAGGATAAATTCTCAGGGGAATGGTTGATATATAATGATAGATGCTAGATGGTGATATATACAGTATAATCTAATCTTATTTTTGCTTTTGTTTCATATTGGCAGGTATTGCAGTGGATAAATATGGCCTTATGTATTTTGTTGACGCAACAATGATCAGGAAAGTTGATCAGAATGGTATCATATCAACTCTGCTGGGCTCTAATGACCTAACTGCTGTTCGGCCACTGAGCTGTGATTCCAGCATGGATGTCACCCAGGTAGAATGTTATTTGCTTCTGAAAATAAAACAGATGGATAAATGTCTTGTGGTTATTTCCAAGATAAACCAGAAGTTTCAGCCTGCTGGGAGAAAAAGTTATTACTGATTATACAACATATAATATTTAACATAATTAGCAATACAAAAAAGCCAAGCCTTCTTTTCAGGAGCTTCTATATATCTACAACAGAAAAATAAAACTGTGATACAATAATGTGGTTTAATTAGCTTTGGTTATCCTTTATCTGGAAAGGGGCAATTAATCCTTTATATAAGCATCCAGAGAGCTGACTGCATATAGGTTTAATGAATACTAAAACGAATATTGTCTAAGGCAATTCCATACAGCTTTGATCCTTGACTAACTCTGTTAAAACTGGCCAATTATTTGCTGTTCCACACAAACCTTTGTTCATCTGAAGTTTTTAAAGCAATAGTAATGTATTCCTTATTCTATAGGTGCGACTGGAATGGCCAACTGATCTGGCTGTCAATCCAATGGATAACTCACTGTATGTTTTGGAGAATAATGTCATTTTGAGAATCACTGAGAACCATCAGGTTAGCATCATTGCTGGTCGTCCAATGCACTGTCAGGTTCCTGGGATAGACTACTCTCTTAGTAAACTGGCCATTCATTCTGCTTTGGAGTCAGCCAGTGCCATTGCCATCTCACACGCTGGTATTCTTTACATCAGTGAGACAGATGAGAAAAAAATTAACCGCCTTCGTCAGGTCACCACGAATGGTGAAATTTGCCTTCTGGCTGGAGCAGCTTCAGACTGTGACTGCAAAAATGACGTCAACTGTAATTGCTATGCCGGGGATGATGCTTATGCAACTGATGCCATCTTAAACACTCCATCCTCCTTAGCTGTGGCACCAGATGGTACAATTTACATAGCAGATCTTGGAAACATACGCATCAGAGCAGTCTGCAAAAATAAACCAGTCCTCAACTCTTTCAACCAATATGAAATTGCTTCACCCAGAGAGCAGGAGCTGTACATCTTCAACATCGATGGCATCCATCAATATACTCTCAGTCTTGTCACGGGGGAATATCTCTATAATTTCACCTATAGTGCTGATAACGATGTGACTGAGTTGGTGGATAACAATGGCAACTCTCTGAAAATTAGGCGTGATACAAATGGAGCTGCACGCCATTTTTTAATGCCCGACAATCAAATTGTGACTCTTGCTGTCAGCACCAATGGTGGTCTTAAAGCAGTGTCAACCCAGACCTTGGAACTTGGATTAATGACCTATCATGGAAGCAGTGGTCTCCTAGCAACAAAAAGTGATGAAACGGGATGGACAACCTTTTATGAGTAAGGCTGTTTTTAGAATAACCTATAGTTCATATTCATTGTCTACCTGAGTAATCATCTGTCCTCATAAGGAATAAGTTAGTAAGGTTTTTTTTTAATGCAAGATGGCTCAAATAAGGTAGCTCTAAGAATGTTGAGTGGTCCAAAGGGAACCTGAGTACTCACTTTTGCATGCATGCTCTTGTTTACTCTTATTGTGTCACTGTGAGTTTTCATACAGCTTGGATTGTTTTATGCAAAAATAAAATTCAATAGAGTCAAAGACGGAGCCAAAGAATGGATAAAACAATGGAAAGAGAACATTAAATGAATTGCTTTGGTTAAGTCATTGGAGAAAATAATACCATTATAATTCATTTACAGCATTTTTATCTATATTAAGAATGCAGTAATATATGTCCTATAAAAATAACACACATAAATCATCAATTTGATGTAATAGTTAGGACACCAGGCTATAAACCAGGAGACTGTGAATTCTAATCCTCCCTTAGACATGAAAGCCATCTGAGTGAGCTTGGGCCAATTAGTCTTTCTCAACTCAATTCATCTTTCAGGGTGAAATTAGGATGAAGAAGAAGTATTGGGTATGTTTACTGACGTGAGTTATTTATAAAAATAATAAAGGTGGAATAACATTTTTTTTTAAAAAAAGATACAACATAGTCTTCACTATTGAACCCAGAGAAAAACAACTTTGAAGTAATTCTGAAGATAGAGATTGATAAAAGTGGGTTTAAGTTTGAAATGCCTAAATAATTTATTGGTGTCCAGTATCAGTAGGACAAAACTTTGTTAACCTTGTCTGTCAGGACAGAGGATATTTATTTGCCCTATTTATACTGCCTAATAGACTGAGGCTACACCCCAGTAATCTTCCTCCCCACAGGGATATCAATGTTACAGTTACTTCTGGAATTCAGGTAACAAATCTTGCCCTTCAAATGTCAGGATAGTGGGATCATATTCTATACAGGCAGATAAAACATTGATAAAATTTACTGATTGCTTGTTATTGCAAATACTGAGGAAATTGCATCCTAAAATATATATATTTAAAAATCTATGTGACATACTATTTCCAAGATAGTCCAAAAATTGCACTTACTTCAGTTAGAAAGAAAGATTAGAAAGAAAATGCTTTTCTATATAATTGCAACAAATTAAAGTGTTGTGCATTTTTTTAAAAAAAAATCTATGCAAGCAAATCAGGTTGTTTTAATTGGCATTCTGCAAATACTGATGATGAAAAATAATTTTCAAAAAGATCATTTCATAGATAGAAATGGATAAAATATTAACATACAGATCTAAGCTAGCTTTTTATCTTTCACATAGAGTTTGCACTCAAAAATAAAATAACTACTTATAAGAAAGTGTGCAAACTTTGTAGGCTAAGAATCAAACTACATTATTTATTTAACTCTATTGCTAGAACTTCAGTCGCACTGTCCAAAATGGAATATTTTTTAAAGAAATATTCATGCTATAGATGAATATTTGGATGCTAGGTAATTGTCCACTGTAATGGAAAATTAGACAGTGCCTCAGATCTACTCACAAGAAGCTTGATGTTTCATGTGAGCTTTTGTACATTTGGTTCCTCACAATGTTTCAGTCTGAATCCAATCTAAATTACTAAATTTTGGGGGAGGGGAGAAGATCATCAGTTTCTTTTTCCCTCCACTCCTTGGGTACAGTGACAGTAAGATTAAAAGCTTCAGATTCTTAGTTTATTATTACATTAGCTTACCATTACATTTGAATCAAACAAAAAACTATCTAATTTAAATAAGCCAATATTTTTTTTAATAAATCAATGTATTTTTTTTAACTTTTGACCCGTTCCGTTGCTTTTAAAAAATGATTTAAACTAACTACAGGTTCAGGTATCACTGAAATGCAGTCAGTGTAACACAGGAGGCAGAAACAAGGGGAAAATGATAGGACAACTGTGTAGAGTTACTTTAACAATTCTGATCATAATTATAGTTGTTTTACATGAGTCTAAAACAATCTGTGTACATAGTAACAATTACATGAGGAACTTGCATCTAAGGGCTATCCTCTGTTGCTGAGTTATCTACCCATACTTGACTAGCAGCTACACTGCTCAATCACTGAAATAAAGATTTGATTTGACAACTGATACAATGCTGTTACATCCAACTCTTTAGTTCAAGAATGTCAAACTCAAGGCCTGTAGGCCAGATCCGGCCCACAGGGCCACCCAGGAAACAGCGAAGGACAGGCCCGCAGTGGCTCTGCTAGCGAAAACGGACCTCTCCCAAGCTCCGTTTTTGCTGTCAGAGGGTTTCAGGAGGCCGTTGCAGCTGAAAATGGAGCTTGGGAGCCCGTTTTCATTGGCAGAGCCCTCAGGCCTCCACAGGCACCTCCGACATTGAGCCGGCCATGCCCACTCTGACCATGCCCACCTCGACCCCCCGAGATCAAGCACAATTCTGACACAGGCCTCAATGAAATCGAGTTTGACACCCCTGCTTTAGTTAGACAACAGCTGAATGGCAGCTGGTGAGGTTCAGAGGTGGGGAAGACTGTGTACATCAGCCAATAAGCACAGATCTCACCCATTACTAGACACCTGTTTTTTCAGTCACATCATATGAAGCAAAATAGAAGAGATTATGGCTGCTCTTAAATGCAATGCTATTAGGTTAAAGAAGGAAACACTGTTTTAATATTAGTACAGCTGAAGATGGCAGATGTCCCTGTGTCACTCATGGACCAGATATGAAATGGACATAACATCATCAAGACATGGGGCAAAAAAAGTTGTTACGATATTTGCACTGCTTGGTACAAGTGGGTTCAAGTAGGCAGACTTAGGATATGAGAGTTATACTTTTCAGAAGAAATGCCTGCTGCAAATATGTCCTGTGAACATTTGTTTTTTCCTCCAAGTCATGCCTTTTGATGAACCAAAAGAAGTGTTTCTTTTGTTTTGACTATTAATGGCTTCTTGTTTTTTTTTTTTTTCAAATGTATAATTCTCACACCAAACAAATGTAATTTGAGAGCGTAAATAATCATATGTCTGGTTTTTCTGATTGAAAAATAAGATTTTCCAAGGCTCTATTCTTTTTTTGTTATTTTGCTGAAATTTGTCACTGAAGAAGTTCAGCAGTGCCATCTGCAGGTCAGTTTGTAAAATGATAGTAAACAGTAAATCTTACCGATAAAGTTGAAATATGACTTTCAAAGTAGTAAATGGGTGATCACAACCCATTAGTCCTGGTTTGCAAGATTAGCTTACAATGTATTTGTAACATTTTACATCCAATATACTGTTTTGAACAGTAAAGGAGAAAAAAGAAGAATGGATAGATTAAAGTTTTCTTTGTTTTAGTTTTAGTTTGGATTTTTTTTTTTAGCTTCATTAGTTTAGGCATACAGATGTTCATTTCCTCAAATGTCAGATTATTTTATTTTATTTATTTATTATAAAATTTACCTAACCACCCATTCACCGAAAAGTGTCTCCGGGCAACACATAACAATAAAACATCAATAAAGGGTAATAAAGTGATTTGTTGTTAATGACTAGCCAAGATTTACAATTAATAGATAAGTAGCAGATTCATGCAGAAGGGATGTGTGTGGGGGGTGTTACTTTTAAAAAACACAACAATTTGTTAATCTGCAGAATAAGGTGCCAATGAGAGGAATGGATGGAGTCGGAGATTTTTTGGGAAATATTGAAAAAAGTAAATGTACTTGAGGAAAATTATGCAGAAGAAAAGAATGGTCTAGAGCCTTGCTTATCTGTTTACATTTTGGAACAGAAGCAAACCAATACACCATGTAATCCTGGTGCAGAAATTCTGCCAAGTTCTATGCAATTTTTCATTCTCAAGTGACTATTGGCTGATCTCACTAGCATATATATAAAACTCATGAATCTTTACTAAACATAGCAAGACTCTGAATAAAACATAGACAAGCATAATATGCATTAGAAACACCCAAAGCAATAATCGTCACATATTTTAGAAATAAACATAATATACTGACTGTGACTATCCCATAAGATTCCCTCCTTTAGTAATATACCTTAATTGTGGCATTTTAATAGCTCTCTGATGTTTTGTGGCTGCTGATTCTTCCCATGCACTCATCAGATCCCAGGAAATGTTTTGCTCCATCATACTTACTGTGTGCAATAAATGTTTTACAGCTGCCTCAATCCATTGGATAATTAAGTCATATTGTCAAGCTTCTGTTGCAAACTAGTCAAGGCATTCTTTTCCCAGCGGATGGCAAGAATTTTTTTTCCAGGACATTTGATCCTCCCATATGATATTCAGTCTGTTGTTTCCTTTTCTTTCTGGATAATTCTCTACGCCCACATATCTATTCCACATATTTCAATGGGCTTACACAATGGCATAATTTGCCACTATTATTAGTACATCATTAATATTTCACTGTTTCCCTTCTTTTTCTTCCTTCTTTTCAAAGCTTTATACATACATACGTACATACATACATACATACATACATACATACATACATACTACCCCAAAATTGCTAAATTAAAAAGAAATATCAAAAAGATTTCTTTCTCCTGCCAAGTGAGGAATTGTTGGTATTCTCACAAATATAGCAAATATAGTAGAACTTCTTGATCTGAGATACAAAAAATCTCAATATCCCAAAGGTGCTTTTTCAAGAGGCAACTGGACTTTCTGGCTTTGAAGACATTTCGCTTCTCATCCAAGAAACTTCTTCAGTTCTGACTAGATGATGGGGAATGGAAGGATTTATACTTCTTGCAGACAGCTAGTCATTTGCAATTTTTAGCAAGTTGTTCAGGCCAGCTGGAGGTTTATCTGTGTTGACTCACTAAAAGAATGCAAATGACCAGTTGTCTGCAAGGAGTATATATCCTTCCATTCCCCACCATCCAATCAAAACTGAAAGAAGCTTCTTGGATGAGAAGCAAAACGTCTTCAAAGAAAAACCAGAAAGTTGCCCAGTTGCCTCTTGAAAAAGCACCTTTGGGACAATCATAACCAGGATGACCGAGACTCTCTATAAGCAAAAATCTCAATGAACAACACATGATAGCAGAGTTGTGTTTTTCTGTATTGCCTTTTACTATCTAGAGGTCATCTGGAATTTTTTGGTACCAGTTTCAGTAGCCCGATAATTTACCACTGCATTTCAAATAATAATTCTTATTTGAGCTTATGTATGTCTCTAGTCACTTTCCATACATTTCCTATATAACACTAAATCCTAGTGAGAAAAATGACCAGGGACTATAATATTGCAGACTTTTATTTAACATGACTATTACTTAGCGTTCTAATATTAAAGCCTTTTCAGGGCCTCTGGGCCCATTGGGTGGATCAGTGACTGAGGCCCTTAGGCAGAGGCATGTTCTTCATTTATAAGGTACTGACAGCAAAACCTGGGCATTCTAAAGGCAGCTTTGGATTATCTGTTTTGTCAGTATAGTTTTGGATCTGTCTGCCTAGTTGAATGCTTGTGAAATAATTGAACTATTTGCAAGATGGATATACTGTCTGAAATACTGAAGGCCTGTTTAAAAGAAGAAAGGAATGACTATCTGTATGGGAAAGGTTGCTGCATTTATTTTGAGATGTAAAAAGAAAAAATAATAGAAGAATGGGAGATGTGATTACATTCTGTAAATATATCACAAGGCTTCAATAATAATTTTCCAGGGATGATTATGTGGAAAAAAGAAATTCCCAAAGGTATACTATTTCCAGTAAATCATTTTTTTTTATAATATATCGTATTTTCTTTGGTATGTGAACTTAACAGTATATTCTCTAAAAATGTGTAATTATTTGATACTAAAAATTTATTCTAATTATTTGTCTTTTGTTAAAAGTTTTGTTTCATAATCTGTTTAATGTTTCTTTTAAGCCCTGATAGAGCATGTATGATTTAGTTCAGATTCAGCCACTTATAAGAGATTTCTCTTTTTTCAGTTATGACCATGAAGGACGCCTTACCAATGTAACTCGCCCTACTGGTGTAGTAACCAGCCTTCATCGTGAAATGGAAAAGTCTATTACTATAGATATTGAAAACTCCAACCGTGATGATGATGTCACAGTAATTACCAATCTCTCCTCTGTGGAGGCTTCCTACACAGTTGTTCAAGGTACAGAGTTAAACTTTCCAAAGATTTTACACAGTTTGTATGAGTAAGAATAATGGCAGAAGAGAAATATCACCAACAGCCAGTGGGGCAAATATTTAAGTAGCCCTTGGTCTGCTTAAAAACTTGATAATTCTAACTTTAATTTAATATTAATTCAAAGATCATCATCGTTTTTTGATTCAGAAGACTTCCCTTCATTCCTGCCATCTTTTTCAGGAGAGGATGGCAATATGTGTTCAGTTTCAGTACAAAAGTAATTGTCCTCCTTTGCCAGAAAAAGCCAAATGCAAGTAAAGCAAGCAAGCAAACAAACAAACATATGGTTCTATTTCACATCATTTGTTTCCTAGGAAGAACTGTCCGTCTCATGCATTTTTTTCCAAGGGCTGTAAATGCAACCAATTTTTGATTTTTTAAAAATAAACTTTATTGAATTTTATTACATTAAAAACATTAAAAATATATAATTCAATAACAGCTGTTTGTGGTGCTTATCATATAACAATAATTTGTGCAATATTTACAAATTTTAATTTGTGTATAATTATATTCTTATTCTATCTATATTCTATATTTAATAATTACTTATCCTTAATCTGTCTCCGATCTATCCAGCTGTACCATTGTTCCCACACCTTATAAAATATTGAAGCTTCCTTATCTTTTAAACTCATCGTTAATTTATCCATTTCAGTACAATTCATAACTTTTTGTATAACCAGTTCCTCTACAGGTGTATATGGCTGTTTCCAACATTGGGCAAAGGCAATCCTGGCAGCAGTCAGTATGTGTAATAATAAATATTTTGTACTCTTTACATATTTTTTTTGAAGATCCCCAATAGGAAGAGTTCTGGTTCTAGGTCTAGTTGTTCATTGGTGATTTCCTGTAGCCAATTTTGGATTTTGAGCCAGTATTTTCGAGCCTCTGGGCAAGACCACCACATATGATAATATGTTCCCTCTTTTTTTTTACATTTCCAACATATGGAACTCATTTTAGGGTACATTTTTGCTAATCTCGAAGGGGGTAAGTGCCACCTATAGAACATATATGCATTTTCTTTGTATGTTGCTGATTTTGTTAATTTGTAATTTCTATTCCATACAGTCTCCCAATCTGATAACTTTATGTTATGACCAATATTTTGACCCCATGCGATCATGCATCCTTTCACTACTTCTAATTCTACTTCTCGGAGATACTTGTAAATTTTGGTAATATTTTTTTTATCTGGGCCTAATAAAAATTTGTCTAATTGTTGAGGTTTCAAGTATATTCCATACTCCTTTACATACTCCTTTACATACGACTTTGTATTTGGAGATAAGCCCACCAGTCTACTCGTAGCCCTTGTTCTTGGAACTCCTGTATTGTTTTTAAATTTCCATTTGTATCTAATAAGTCTTTATATTTTAACATTTTGTTCAGGTCTAGATTATTTGGGTGGATCGTAACTTCCATTGTAGATAGCCAAATTGGGATTTTTATATAGTGTTTCTTTTCAACCTTGATCCAATTGTACATCAATGAATCTCTAATCAGATGTCTGTGGAAATATTCTTGTTTAGTGGGTCCTATGTCCCAAAGAAAGGCCTGCCATTCCCTCAGAAGGTCATGACCTTCTATAGCTAATATTCTTTTATTCTTTAAATTAATCAAATCTTTTAGCCAAACTAATGTTGCTGCACTATAGTATAATTCCCAATTTGGCAATCCAAAGCCTCCTCTGCTCTTCATATCTTGTAATAATTTCATTTTTATTCTGGGTTTTTTACCCTGCCAGATAAATTTTGCTGTCATTCTATTAAGATTATCAAAAAAGGTCTTTTCTAATTTAACTGGAATAGTTTGGAATAGATAAAGAAATTTTGGTAATCTTGACATTTTTATGGCTGCTATTCTTCCTAGTAATGACAGTTGTATTTTCATCCATGATTCCAAATTTTTTTTTTTGTTGTTGTAATAGCTTATTATAATTATTCTCTTTATCGCCTTACAGTGTGCTGTCAGCCATATTCCCAAATATTTAATTTTTCTTGTTGTTTGGAGTCCGAGCACCCTTTCTAATTCTGTTATTTGTAGATCTGTTAAGTTTTTTACTAGAAGTTTCATTGTCTGTCTATTAATTTTCAACCCTGCCACCGCTCCATATCTTTCTAGTTCCTTAATTAATATTTGTCCTTTTTCTATTGGATCTTCCATAATAAAAGCCATATCATCTGCAAAAACTTGCAGTTTATATTCTTCATTTTTACTTTTCAATCCTTTTATTTCAGGATTTTGCCTCACTCTTTCTAATAGTATTTCTAATGATAGTATGAAGAGCAGAGGGGATAATGGACAGCCTTGTCGGACTCCTTTTTCTATATTTATAGTTTGGGTATTCTCTCCATTTATTATGATATTTGCTTTTTGTACAGAATAAATTGCTGTTATAATATTCTCAAATTTGGTGCCGAAATTCATATCGTAAATTTGCTGAATCATAAATTGCCAATTAAGGTTGTCGAAAGCCTTTTGACCATCCAAAAAAACAAGAGCTACCTGTTTCCCTGGATGGGCTGCATAATATTCCAAACTATCCATTGTTATTTTTAAATTGTTCCTGAGTTGTCTATTTGGGAGAAATCCATTTTGGTCTGGATGTATGTAATCGTTCAAAATTTTCTTTAATCTAGTAGCAATAATAGTAGTAAATATTTTATAATCTACATTCAGCAAAGAAATTGGTCTATAGTTTTGTATCATTCTGGCATCTGAATCCCCCTTCGAGATTAGCGAAATTAGTGATTCTCTCCACGTGTCTAGCATTTTAGCAGATAATAATATCTCATTATATAAATCCACCATTATTCGTCCCACTTGTTGTCCTATTGCTCTATAATATTATGCTTGGAAGCCATCAGGGCCTGGGGTTTTATTACTTTTCTGGGTTCTAATTGCTTGTTTTAATTTTGTCATAGATATGTCCTTCATCAAAAATTCTTTCATCTCATGGTTAATTTCTCGAGTTCCTTTTTCTCTTAGATATTCCCTTATCTGATCTTCATCTACTATCTCTTTCTTATACAGATTCTCCAAATATTTATGTGCAATCTCTTTTTTCTTCTCTATTGTTTGTTGATAATTTCCACTTTCATCTTTTTTGAGCTTGTAAGGCAGCCATCTACCAGGCTCATTTCCTTGTTCATAGTATATTTGCTTAGTTACTTTCAGGTTTCTAATCAGTTCTTCCTGTTCCATTAAATTGGGTTTATGTTTATAGAGAATCAATTGTTCTTAAATTTTAACATTTTGTGGGGCATCCTGTAATTTGGATTCTAGTTTTTTAATTGTTTGGTATAAATTGTTATGTTGAGCATGTTTTTCTTTATTTTTTTGTGCAGTGTAAGATATTATAATTCCCCGTATAACGGCTTTCATAGCATCCCATAAATTTTGGATAGTTGTGTCTAGGTTATTATTTTCTTTAAAATAAAAAGTTAATTCTTCCTTAAGTTCCTTTACAAATTCCTCATCCTTTAATAGTTGAGAATCTCAAGTCCACCTTCTCCTTGATTTTTTCTTACCTTTCCAATTGATTCTAGGAGGGTTGTGGTCTGCCCAAGAGTTTGGTATAATTTCTACTTCTGTCACATCTTCTACTAGATCTCCACTCATCCATGCCATATCAATGTGCGACCATGACTGGTGGGGATTTGAATAGAAAGTGAACTATCTCTTATCTGGATTTAATTTTCTCCATACATCTATTAAATTTAATTCTTTAATCATTTCTACACAAATTTTAGGTAATTCTCTCTTCTTTTTTCCCTTTCCTTCTTATTCCCCCCATTATAATCTTTTGATAATCTGCTATAGCATTAAAATCCCCTATGATACAAATATTTTTCCTTTCCAGTTCAATGATTTTGGCATATAAAGCTTTATAAAATTCTTTTTGATTGGCATTAGGGGCGTAAATTACCACCAATAGGATTTTTTATTTTAATTTATCTGTATTTCTATTGCCAGAACTCTTCCTTTGGCGTCTGCAAATATTAATGTTGCTTTTATCTCTTCTTTAAGGTAAACTGCTATTCCATTCTTTATTTTGTTATCTGCAGAAGCCATAAACACTGTCCCTAATTTGGGGCAGACTAAATATTTTTCCTGTGTTTTTAAAATGTGTGTTTCCTGTAAACAAACAATATCTACATTTTGTTTTATCAACTTTGCCAGAATACTTTATCTTTTTATTTTTGAATTTAAGACATTTATATTAATGGATAAGAGTTTCACCTCTTTTTCCATAGGTCTAGTTATATCTATTTCTTTATCTCCTAATCACTCTTTTTTCTCTTTACGTTACGTTTGTTAACCTAAAATCTTCTCTTTCTTGTTGTTACTGGATGATTTTTCTTACTTCTTGTTTTTCTTCTTTATTTTTGATTGGTCTTATTCTTCTTGAAAGTTTAAGTCTAAATAATTCTCGCTCTTTGCCTTGTAGTTACTCCAAGTTCTACTTGTGGTTGATACTGTGCCTTATTTTCTTCTTTTTCTTCTTGTTGTTGCTGGTTGTTTTTCAAGTTTTCTGGGGTCTTCTGTCCCTTCTTTTGATGCTCTGATCTTAATAGCAGAAAAATAGCCTACCATCCCATCCATGATGTTTAATTGTAGCAGAAACAGTAGCGGAATTAACCTCTAGCTTCTGTGAGAAAACCATTTTAATTGTTTTATTTTTAGGCAATCCCAAATACTAAACAATGTAAGAATCATGGCAGTAATTAAAGGATTACAGAACTAACAAAACCAACATTATTTTTCATGTTGTCAGGTTCTAGTTTCACCAACTGAAAGTTCTCCATGAATATTAAATATCAATGTGTTCTATTAGCATCTCCATCTAAATAATATTCCATAATCTTTGAATTACAGAATCCTGTTTTTTCCAGTGTCTCAGTAGTTTTATTTCTTTGAAGGAGAGATTGCAGTTTCATCCTCTGTTCACATTTAATCTTAATAATTTACTTGTGTATTATTTGTTAGGTCTGCTGAAAAAATTATTCTAGCTAAGACTGATAATTGAGGAAATAGCCCACTTTTTCATTACACTGTATTAATATCCTGATATATCCTAAAAGAACTGAGTGACACAGTGTTGATCAATATAACTAAATGGGAAATATATTCTGTTCATTTCGATTGCTCAATTACTTTGTGAAGTTCCACATTTCCATGTGGGGCCCTGGCTGATGTCTCTTGTTTGACAAATCAACATATCACTAATATATGACAAACGACAGACTCCTTTTGTGTTGCACCTTTATGCTTGGCTTCGCTTGACTGCTTCTCTGTCTAAAACAAAACTCATATAGATTATCTTTCTTTCAACAGCAAATGCCTTTTCAGCATTTAACATAAAATTTTCTGAAGACTACGGGAGACAAAATGTACATAGTGTGTTTGAAATTAACTACAGATTTCAAAATATTCTTGGCATGAGAATAAACAATAACATCTTCATTTGGTCATCAGACAAAACATCTTTTGATAGAAATGCTTTTTTCTTCTTCCAAAAATCCTACTCATATAGTTTTATGTACCCAAACAAAAAATTATTTAGAAGAATTAGGGGACCTTAAAATGAAATCAAAATTACTGTACACTAACCTTAATTACTTTGGACCATAAAGTTCTTTTGAATGAGACTTGCACAAGCATTGCATGGGGAAATTATGCTCTAATACAATTGCCACACATTATACATTGCTTTTTTTTTCTTTTTCATAATTAGATATCTGTGACAACTTTTGTCCTTTAACCATCCAAATATAGAAATCTCTAGCATTTTGTAATCAAATAAGCTTCTTGCCCCATGTCAGTGTTTCCTCCGGTTACGTTTCCCTCTGTGATTTTAGAAAAACATGAAGTCTCCAGCCTGATTTGAACAGCTATCAAAAGATTCATGATTTCGGGGGTTACATGTCTGCTATGTACCGTCTTGCTTTTCTCCATGTCCCATTCCTATTCAAGTTCTACTTGTAACATAATACAAAATGGATATTTGTTGCTTCCAGTATAAAATTTATTGGATTATCTTTGAAAAAGAGAATCTGTTCAAAACTCTTTTTACAATTAAACTATATCGCTACATAGAATTATATATTTAAGATAGATGTCTTAAATATGCATTTTCTAAATCAGTCATCACAATTTTTCCATCTACAGTCGGGTTGAAGATATCCACTGACATTTTCATTGGTTAATAAAAATATTTCATCTGTTTCAAGCTCTGTTTTTCTGCATCACTGCAAATAAATCATATCAATTGTCCACTCAGTGTACTCAATTTACAGGTGAAGTTCTTGATTCCATACACTGTGCATCTTGTCTAGTTCTGAATCAAAGCTAGTCAGTTGTACAGCTGATTGAGTGAGGTTCCTGAATCTCTTTTCAATCAATTTATTTAATGGATATTAAATCATTAGAAAGCTACCTGTTATATCAGCCAATGTGCTTGCATGTAAAATAAACTATTTTATTGTGGTAGAAACTATTTTGATGACTTTATTCTCACTGCTGAAAACTTCAAGATGACTATTATGATTTTGTAGAAAGATATTTACTTAGTTATTTACACATTTATATCCCATCACAAATGGATTTGTTGCAGCTTTCACAATATGAAAAGTTCATTAGAACATTCAGTGAACCTAAAAAAAAAATCATAAATCAATAGATCATCTCAACAACAATCACAAGGACAAAACACCTCTAATCCTCTTAGAACCTAAAGAAGTGGTTCATAATTGGGCTTTTATGCAGTATTGCATTGTTCCATTTTTTAGTTTATAGAAGCCTTTTTTATCAACATCTGTGTGTATAAAAACTCTAGATATCAAAGTACATTTTCTGCAATAGAAAAGAATGGGATTCCCCTTCTTTAAGAAATAGCTCACATTTTCAAAGAATAGCTTTCTCACATACATATTTCCCTATCTATCTCGTTCCATGGTTATTGTATAAATTCTTGCTAAATCAGGCCAATCTACAATGCCTACCAAAAACATCAGGTATTTATTATACAAACTGGGCAAAGTTTTCCATCCCAGTGCATGAATATTAAATATCACTCCTTGGGAGATTTATCCTTCATATGGCTTTGTGAAAAACTTTAAGCAGTTCTTCTCAGCAAAAAGATTTTCAACAAGAAAATCCTATGTACCTTACTTCATAACCTCAGTGTACTGAATCCTGAACTACATTTGTTATGTACATATTTAAAGGTTCTATTATCCCTTTGCAAGGTTACTTGTCTGGTTTGCATCTTCAGTTACAATCTCTGTTATTCCCTTATTGATTTGTTTTGAACTGATTCCTTAAAATTGCTAGAAAGTTATTATTTCCTGTGCTAATTGCTCAACAGTCCTGAAGAGGAACGAATACAAAACCATTTACACCCAAGCTGTATGTGATTTGCATTATTTATCATTTAAGATAGTCTTTTAATTATTATTAATTCAACTAGAAGGACTGAAATCTAAGCACATGCTGCCAAGATGAGGTAGAATAAAGGTTTTTTGTGTGTGTAAAAAGAAAATCTTATTAGCCCCGTTGAGCCAAAATGATTAAAATTTAAATTCATTATATGAAGTTAACAAATTAAGGACAAATAGTTGATGCTATTGCAATATGAATCAAAGGACCCTATTTGCGTATTTGCTTTCTTCAGAGCAAGCTATAATTATAGGGAGCTGATTTCATCCAATTTGCTACTGCCAGTAAAGTCTTCCGTTTGCAAACTCTGCATGCAAAATTTGATGCTGTCTTCAGTAAAACAATACTTCAAGAACATCAGTCTGGCAACTTTTCATATATCTGCCTTTACAAAGATCAGAAAAAAGACAACTATCTGAAAGAACAGTAAAGTTGTTTATCTTTGTGGTCAGACAACTCCTTCTAAAGGTGTCTTTTATTCTCTACTGCAGGATTTTTTTTTCATTATAATTGTGAAGGATAAGCCATTCTGTTTTTTGGAATCTCTAATCTTAAAAATTCCCAAAGCATAGTTGGTACAGACGTAGAAACTATATGACAGATAGGTAATGACAAAAAAAATCACTTGTATTCTGTTTTTTCTCTGTATTAACTCTTGCCTAGCCCATTTAAAGAGCCCATTTTTTCTGGCAATGTTTGCTCAAGAGACATTTGCCAAGAGAAGCGTCTTAGTCGTTCTGTTTGGAGGTAATTAAATTTCTCAATTTAAGAAGAGAAGTTTAAATGTAATCACTGGCAGAATTCTGCAAAGAAGATAATGGAAACCTTAAAGAAATTATTCAATTCTGCCTATACAGTGTGACACCGTTAACTAAACTAAAATGAAAAGAATTTTGTGGATGATAGTTTTAAAATTTAAAATAGTGTCATTAAAAATAAATATTGCTGTGGGACAATAACCTCCTCACAAACCAGGGACTATTTTCCAGGGTTATGATATTTTATTTCTTTCCAGCAGCTGATTAATTAAATAGATATTTTCTTTATTACAAAATGATAGTGGTTCTTTGGTGGCAGCTGCTCACTCTGCTGTCTACTGTCTTGCGGGAGAGATTCCTTTTTACTATTCTGAAAACTAGATCAACCAGTCAAGAATATAACAATCATAAATATCAAGTTTTATTTTTGCAACTTCTGCCAGTCAATAAAAAGCCAGATGTCAGGCTGGCTAGTAATGTTTCTTTAAGGTAGAATGAAAAGTGACACTCATACAAAAGATTGACTCTGGCACCTCAGTGTGAGCATCATGCCTTAAGTACTGAAACCTAATCTATAACTGAGCTATATATCTGTTAAGGGAGCACTGAAGGCAGTATAGAAAGAACAGAGATGAATCTGTCTTTTTTCTAAAAAAGCTGCAGTGACTTCTTTTGATATTTTCAGGTTGAATAGATTTCTTGCTAACCCAACACGTCAATTAAATCACTTGCCGCCAATTTTCTCTCAAATTATATATGTATTCAGAAACACTACTGAGGTTTGCAAAATAATAATTATAATAATCAATTGATATTTGATTTACCATTCAGAAGCAAACAGAAAATATAATTCTAATAATCTGAAATATGTCTCCAGGCTTCAAATATTTCATAGTATTTCTCTCTACATAAATCAATATTAATGTAAATATCTGCCTTACTTAAACACAAACAGTAATTGTAGGAATATGTCATTTGACAGATATAGAAAGATCACAAAAATTTGCTAGTTAGGTAAAATGATTTTTTGTATGACTTATGAATTTGTATGACTTATGGGGGCGTGCATAAGCGCACCAACGTGCCTACCGTCCCTGTCCTATTGTTTCTCTTATTCTTTTATTTTTCTTATATGTAACCATTTCATGTATTCACAACTATGTATACATTTATACTTATTATCTTGTAAACAATTGGCAAATCAAATAAATAAATAAATAAATAATAAAATAAATATTTCTTTTTTTTCAAATGACTGATCCAGATCAAGTGAGAAACAGCTATCAGCTCTGCAGTAATGGCACCCTGCGAGTGATGTATGCAAATGGGATGAGCATTAGCTTCCACAGTGAACCACATGTCCTAGCTGGGACTGTGACCCCAGCAATAGGACGATGCAATATTTCACTGCCAATGGAAAACGGCTTAAATTCAATAGAGTGGCGCCTCAGAAAGGAACAAATTAAAGGAAAAGTTACAGTGTTTGGAAGAAAGCTCAGGGTAAGTCCTATAATCAAATTATTGTTTTCAACTACAGGTTTCATCTTTTTCAAAATCTGAAAGCATATCAGATATTATTCATTCAGAAAACCAGATTACTTCTCTGAAACATTAGACTATGTATGAGCAGATCCAGGCCTTCCACTACAGAGAATCCATGATCACAGGTGGAATTTTGGACCAAATGTATGCCAGGGGAGAAGACAGAATATTCATGCTTCCTGCTCTTATCTCAAATATCACCTTGTAAAATATTCCTTTGTTTCCCATTTGTCCTAATGGATTATAGTAGTACAATTGAACCTGGCTGAAAAAGAAAAGATCTTACTGAGGGGAAAGGATGAGCCAGTGGCTCATCTGCCCTTTAAGTCATGGGAATGGTTATTGTAAGTAGTAAAAATAAATAACATAAATAATTCTTTAAATGCAGTTATGGAACTCCTTCATCCCCCAGCATGGGAAGGATATGCTTTAAGGAATTCTGAAGAAATAGACTTATAGAAATGCATGTAAAGCATTTCTGTGCTGTTTTTCAGATATACTGATTTTCAAAACACTTTCACAATTGTGAAATGATACAATATCAGTAAAAATAAAACCAGTGTAACAAAGAAAGACCTCTATCAGTCAAATCTCTAAAAAAGTTGAATTTTAAAAAGTGTTCACTTTACGACTTTAACCTAAAACACATGCAGACTCCAAGTCAACTTTTGTTCACATCTGACAGTCTTGCTGCTTTCATAGCAGACAGCCAATAAAACTGCTGCATCTTTGGTTAGCTAGTGTAACAATTCCTATTTGTACGTTCACTGTTTGGATGTTCATTTTACCTTTCCTTACTAGCTAATTACAGTTTTCAGTATGTGAGCTCTTGCTTAATGATTGGAGTGTGAAACAACAGTCAAAGAAACACTTTGTCATGTGACCGGTGATCTATATTGGTTCAATGATCCAGATCAGGGGTCACCAACCTTTTGGACCTCAGGGACCACCAAACTCATAATTTTAAATCTCAGGGACCACTAACTAGTTCTGTGGGTGTGGCTTAGTGGTCATGTGACTGGCTGGGTATGGCTTGTATGTAAATATTATAAATATTTATATAAATATTGAATTTTTTATAAAAAAAGAGCAACTTTTACCCAAAATCAGGCAAAGCAGGCAGGCAGATTGAGTTGCTCACAGAATCACAGATTCATTCAGAGAGCCATCTATCTGCCATCCACTAACTCAGTCTGTCACATAAAATTTGCTTGCAAGCAAACTAATAAAATTTGCTAGCAAGCAAACTCACAAAATTAACTCACAACACACCATGTATATAAATATTGAATTTTTTATAACAAAAAGAGCGACTTTTACCCAAAATCAGGCAAAGCAGACAGGCAGATTGAGTTGCTCACAGAATCATTCAGTGATCTATCTGCAATCGGCTAGCTCAGTCTGTCACATAAAATTTGCTTGCCGTAAATCTGCACTGAATTATAGAACCTTCAGTCTTAAGCGGGGTTTGGCTGTGCTTAAAAGTAGAGCCAAAGATCTAAAGACTAGCTAGAAAGCAAGAAATCCAACCATTTCCTGCTTCCTAGCTAATCTAAATCTCCCGGCACAGCAAAACAGCTGATGGTCAGAAAAAGGAAAAATAGCAACTTAGCAGGCAAGTTTGCCGGGTAAGTGGGCAGGGAGGGTTCCCGCAGGCCATGCAGCTTTGTGTTTCTGCGCAGCCTGGATTAATTGCTTTGGGAGGTGCTCTGGGGGTGAGATTTCTCCGTGACCCATTGGTTGGCAACTTCTGATCCAGATATTGGTTCAATTATCAATATAAATCCACAGGATCTACAGTATATTGGTACAATGTTATATAGCAGGGATGTCAAATTCAATTTCATTGAGGGCCACATCAGGATTGTATTTGACTCTGGGCAGCCAAGGTGGGCATGGCCAGCTCTACGTCATTCATGTTGGGGGTGCTTGTGGTGGCCCAAGCACTCTGCCTGCAAAAATGGGCTTCTGAGCTCCATTTTTGGCTGCAACAGCTTCCTGCAACCCTCTGCCAGCGAAAATGGAGGGCTGCTCACAGCTTTCGCAAGCTCCGTTTTTGCTGACAGAGGTACCACAGGCCATTCCTTTGCTGTTTCCAGGGCGGCCCCAGGGGCCAGATCTAAGCACCTGCAGGCTGGATTCACTCCTTGGGCCTTCAGTTTTGACACCCCTGTTATATAGTATCACAATTGTGACCCTATGACTTGCCTTTGGTTGATCTGAATTCCCAAAGAAAAGGAATTGGACAGAGAAAATGATTTGGTTGTGGTATATGATAATGGAGTAACCAAGATCTAAAGCAAAGGCATGACTTTGAAAGTTGATTGTGCATTACACTTGGAGCAATGAAAATAAAAGCAGGAGTAAAATTGGATTGCCAAACTATTTCAGTAATGTTGTAAATAACAAATGAAGAATGGTTCTCATGGAAGAAGGTATATATTTATATCTATATTCTCTGTGTATCTGTCCTCTCCAAAGAGATCCAATTGTCAGAGGCGGAGTAAGAATAAAATGTGGCAACAGATCTCTCCGGCTGACTCCAAACTGACTCTGGGTGACATACAATATAAAGAAAATAGGATAGTCGTAGACTTAAGACTACAATTGAGCCCAAAATTTATATGTATATTTTTAATAAACTTTATTAGTCTTTTATGTCTTTTGAAAACAAAAAGATAATCATTACATTAACAGTTCTGTGACATCAGTCTCATACAATTCTATCTTTTGTGCATATTTATAAATATATATAATTTGTACAAATATATACATTTAACAGATAACAGATAATCAGAGTTGGAAGAGACCTTGTGGGTCATCTAGTCCAACCCCCCGCCCACACGGGACACTCTAGACCATTTCTGACAAATGGCAGTCCAATCTCTTCTTGAAAGCCTTAAGTGATTTAATCTATAAATTGCTTATTTTAAATTCCTTCATTTTCCATCTGTCTTAATTCAATACAATTATACCACTTTCTCCAGATTTTGTAATATTTAGACTCATCTTTCTCTTGTAACATTAATGTCAGTTTGTCCATTTCAGCACGTCATAATTTTTTGAATGATCAATTCATCTGGGGGAATACGGTTGTGCTTCCAGCATTGAATGAAAGCTATTCTGGCAGCCGTTAAAATATAATACAATATAATTTATGTTTTTTACATATTTCTTTTTAAATATCCCTAACAAGAATAATTCTGATTCCAATTCTGTTTGATCCTTAAGAATTTCTTGCAGCCAATATTTAATTTTAAGAAAGTATTTCTGGACCTCAGGACAAGACCACCACATATGATAGAAAGTACTCTCTTTCTTTCTATATCTCCAACATGCCGGACTCATTTTGGGATATATCTTTGCCAATCTCACTGGGGGCAGATACCATCTATAGAACATCTTATAAATATTCTCTTTGTATGACACCAATTTTGTTATTCTGTAGTTTTGGTTCCAAATACTTTCCCAATCTGTCAAATTTATATTATGTCCTGTTTTGAGCCCAAGCTATCATACATCCCTTAACAACTTCTTCTAATTCTACCTCTAACAAAAGTTTATAAATTTTTGTAATGTTTTTTTTCATCTGGACCTAATAAAATTTTATCCAATTGTTGTAATTTTGAATATATTCCAAAATATTTTATATCTTTTTAATATCTATTTTGTAACTGGAGTATGCCCACCAATCAATACATATCCCTTGTTTTTGGAGTTCCTGATTCGATTTTAACTTCCCTTGTGCATCTAAAACCTCTTTATATTTTGTCATTTTGCATAGGTCCAGATTATTAGGATGTATCATAACTTCCATCATATAGCCAAATTGGAATTTTCATATAGTGTCTCCTTATTTTAATCCATTTTTTTATAAGGGAACCTCTAATCAAATGTCTATGGAAATATGATTGTTTTTTTATTCCTATATTCCACAAAAAGGAGTGCCATCCTTTTTGCAGGTCATGGCCCTCCAAACTTAATATTCGCTTATTATTTAAATTAATCCATTCCTTAGTCCAAATTAACACTGTCGCTTTATAATACATCTCCCAGTTTGGGAGTCCAAAGCCATTTATATTGTTAAGTGAGACATTTGTTAAGTGAGTTTTGCCCCATTTTATTACCTTTCTTGCCACATTTGTTAAGTGCATTACTGCATTTGTTAACTTAGTAACATGATTACTAAGTCAATCCTCGCTTTTCCATTGACTTTGCTTATCAGAAGGTCGTAAAAGAGGTCACATAACCCCAGAACCCTGCAAACGTGCTAAATATGAGTCAATTGCCAAGTGTGTGAATTTTGATCACGTGACCATGGAGATGTTGCAACAGTGTGAAAAACGGTCATAAGTCAGTTTTTTCAATGCCGTTGTAACTTTGAATGGTCACTAAATGAACTGTTGTTAGTTGAGGACTACCTGTACAATAAGATAGGTGGTCTTTCAAATATCTAGGCTCTATGCTGGGTAGGATTCTATAGGTGATAATCAGCACCTTGAACTGTACTCAAAAGTATACTGGCAATCACTGTGGTTTGCGAGGCAGTGGGATCAAATGGCCTATCAAAGCAAGCAAATCAATCAAAATAGAACTGGAAGGGATCTTCAAGTACTTCTAGTCCAACCTCTGCTCAAGCAGGAAATTGTACAATTTCAGACAAGTGACTGTCCAGCTTCTTCTTAAAACTCCAGTGATGAAGCACCCACAACTTCTGACAGCAAGCTGTTTCACTGGTTAATTGTCCTCACTGCTAAGGAATTTCTCCTTAATTTCAGGTTGCTTCTCTCCTTGATTAGTTTCCATCCATTGTTTCTTGTCCTGTCCTCTGGTGCTTTGGAAGATAAGTTGAGCCTCTCCTCTTCATGGCAACCTCTCAAATACTGGAATACTATCATGTCCCCCCAGTCCTTCTTTTCTCTAGACTAGCCAAACCCAAATCATGCAACCATTCTTCA